CAATGCCTGTTTTTTTTTTTTTTTTTCTTGTGAAAATTATGAGTACATGACTGATTTCGAATATATATATATATATATATATATATATATATATATAATATAAATTATATCTAATTATAAATTTGGGTGCTAATATATCTATTATTCCAGTGAAAGTAATTTTGTACGCATATGTAAGCAAAATATAAGCAGCGAGGGTCAAATAGAAAAAAAGCGTACATTATGGATTAGCTTTATAAAAAGAAATAAATCACTTCATGCCGAGGAGAAAGAAAGAAATAACAATTTTGATATTGTCATTTCAGAGCCAAATATCAAATAATGGCGATAAGATAGATATAAAGTGTGTGTATATATATATATATATATATATATATATATATATAAAACATCAGTTCATTTACAATACAACACAAATAGTAGGAAACTTTCCCTTATGTTTACTTGTCTGAATATTGTCAGATTTTCTGCTGTAGAGCTGTGTGTGTGTGTGTGTATCAATAAGAAATACTAATATATGTTAGCGTCTAATATTAGGAATCGAAAATGTTTTTGTTTTTTTTTGTTTTTTTTGTTTTTTGGGGGTTTTTTTAATCCCAATTTTAAAAAATACACTAAATATTATAAAGAAATGTTCTACGCTCTCAACGGCGTACGGATTGTTTAACGGATATCGATTCCGAGTGAAAAATCGGCGATGCTAGTTTCAATTCCAGGCGGAAATATGCTTTTGAAAGATATGTGCATTTCTCCCCACCCCAACTACAAGTTAAATAGTAGAACGTAAAAAAAAAAAAAAAAAAAAAAAAAAAAAAAAAACCACATTCTCAAGAAATTAATGCAATATTCGCTTGCAAAAAATTCTTACAATCCAAAATGTTTTGGCTTCAAATGACCCACAAAACGTTAAGACGTTAAAAAAAATACAATCTATCAATTTAGAGTGACAACTTCGCTTAAAACGGGAACCAAGAAGAAAGACTAGAGAAATATTGCAATAAAAAGGGACATATTAAAATCAATATACAGGGAAATGAAGCCCAACGCAAAAGAAAAACATTTCATAAAACAGGTAAAAATGCAACCAAAAAGTCTACAGTATTGTCCGAAAGTTTTGTTACTCTCACATAATATAATTTCCTATTTCAGATGACTGACACGAAAATGGTGTTCATACAGACCTTCTCGACGCTTGACAGTTTCAATGAAAATGAATAAACTGTATCAGTACATGTTGTTTGAATTATTACTGCATTGGTTTTTCTTCTATTGTTCTCATTACTTTATGGTAGAGTGACATGACTTTCAGACCAGCCTGTAGTTTTCTTTTACCAGCTTTGTAGCATTATTTTTCTTTTGTCCCGCTGTTAGTATATCTGTTTTTACTTCAATAATATAATTTTGTTACTTTCCAAAAACAGAATATTAAATTTATACAACAAACTAATACAAAATACTGTAGAATAAGCATTATAATTTCTGTTTATATTTTCTAATGTTTATTTTCCATGTGAACAATATTTCGATGAAAAATTTCAAGGTTCCCGAAATGTTACATAAACAGAAAATAAATAATAAATTCCTGGAAGATATTAGAACATGCATTCATGATTTAAATTAGTGATTCTTAATCAAAACCTACAAAATGAACTTTTTATAACCTATAGACATCTTAAGTGAATAAAAAGTATTCTGATGTTAGCGTGGAATGTTTTAGTTACAGCACATCACAACGTTATAACGATGGTGGGTGTGGTCAGTTAAGGATCGGGAGAATAGTCGATTGAAAAGTTATAGTAACTGCTCCACAATGAAATTACAATAGGTCACTAACAATAGTTCCGTGATAGCTGGGTAGAAAGTATTTGATTATCACAAAGGATTAACATTTCTTTTTACGAAGTTAATAGAACTAAGCGTTTTATTTCTAGGATAAATAAGCTTTTGTGAAATGTAAGCTTTCTATGCATAAAAACATGAGATCTAGCAGGACAAAAGACGTGCTCATCAACCGGCAGCATAAATCCAAGAACGGAACGCTAATATTAGGGACTGAAAAAATTCTTCAGTGCTAGAACGAATATATTGGCGATTTCTTCGACAACGAAAGAGAACCGTCAATGAAAGGAAATACTGAAAGGCTGGAAATATTAAAAACTGAAGTGGAAGTTGCATTGACTCAATTGAACAGGAACAAAGAGATGAAATTGTACTAGAGATGCTGGCAGCATTAGACAATTCAGGCATGGACAAGATGACAGAAATAATGAAATCTACGACAGTAGAGATATACCGGGAGACCTAATCATATCTATTTTTATAGCACTGCCAGGCGCAAACGAATATGAATTCCATGAAACAATTATCCTAATAATCTATATAACAAAACTCATCATCGATGAATAGCGCGTCAGCAGAATCGGGCCAAAAGTAAGACAAGAACATCGCACGTTCGTCAAAGACACCAGAACAAAAAAACGCGACATTTATGCTCATAATGTTAAGGACGTGTACGTGCGTTTTATGGATTACGCAAAGGCGTTCGACAAAGTAAATCGCAAAGATCTCTTAGAGCTGCTCAGCAAACTTGACATTAGGGAAAGACCTTAGAATAATCAAAAATCTACACTCACTGCAAACCACCTGCATACGGATAAAATTGAGTTTAGTAGTTATACAAAAATAGAATGGATGTGTCTTCTCACCGGATTTATTCAACCTATAAAGCGTAGTAATTCTGAGAATTAGAAATCCTACAATGAATCGTTAGCGTCCACAATATAAAATATTCATTGACACTGCTGATAGCACACCCGGAAAGGAAACTACAAAACCTCCTATAGTAGGTAACAAAGAAGAGCGAGGTGGGTACTAAGTATAAACTACAAGACAGAATCCACGGTCATCAGAAAAAAGATGAGACCAAAATGCAAATTACAGGCCGGGGATACTAAATCAAGCAGGTACAGAAATTTAAATATCTGGGAAGTGTTCTAACAGAAGACGGAAAGTACGACATTGAGATTTGAAGATGTATTGCGATAGACAAAGATGCATTCCAAAAGGTAAGCAGAGAATTAAGAGACAGGAACATTCGGTTGGAAACAAAGAAATGTGTACTGAACTGTTACGTGATAATGTCCCTCTGTATTGCAGTGAATGCAGGACAATCTCCTCAAAAATGAAGAGTCTAAGCAAAAGAAGAATGCTAAGGATAACATGGGCTGAACATGTGAGCAACGATGAGGTTTGGGAGAGAATGGAAACAAAGAGGAGACTTCAGCAAGTGGCGGCTAATATTTCATAACGAAGGAGGACTTAGAAAATCTGATACTCATTAGACGAATAGAGGGAAATAAGGACAGGGGAAAGCAAGAAGTAACATACTTAATGGGCTTGAGCAAATGGATGGCAACAGGGTCTGGGAGAAATAACAAAGAAAATCTTAAGAGATACAAGGGACAGGATGGATGATGCGGAGTCGTGATCGCCTACATCCTAAAGTGACACGGCACATAAAAGAATTCCCTTAGAACATCAAGGTGACGACGTCAAATTTACGAATACCGTTTGGAAAAAGAACTCCTAAGCAGAATCATGCAATTCATAGACACTCGAATGTCGACCGTTTCGAAACCTCAGCTGGCGTTGGACATCAAATAAACGAAAAATTTGACATGAAATTATCATGGCAGGTAGTTTTGTTCCTTCAAGAACAATAACCAAAATGTAGACAAGACATTTTGCAAACGTGTCCTGACGGATGTTTTCATATAAAACGGTCTAGCATAATCTAGACTGTTTTATATGAAACGGTGTTAAATTTGGTTTGGCAAGCAGTTTAAGAGGACGGCGTAAAAGTGAGAGGTTGGTTCCAAAATGTAGGGGAGAGGTGTTATTGTCTTGGTCTGGGCAATATCTTCTAATCGCTGTTGTTGGCACACTCATTCAGTTACATGAAAATACTGCAATGTATAAGAATATTTGTAGCGGGATTTTCTTTTTGTTCGGATAAAAATAATTCACTTATGTGTCACCTCCCTTGGTTCTGATGTGTATAGACATTTTATATTAAATATTTATGATCTCCTGGAACATCTATCCCGTAAAAATTAATGACAGACTCGTGTGGCTTCGGGAAAAAATGTGTGCACAAAACAATGAATATAAAACAAATGACAATGAATGTTATTAACTAAACGAATTACATGTGTATACAACAGAAATAATAGGAAAAGACATTGAAAATAGCTATGGGAATGTGTTTGTGTGTGATACACATGTGTATATGTCTGCGTGGTAGTTCAAAGGTCATCAGGACTAAGGAAGGGAACTCGCCTCGTTGGTAATGTTCTCTAGAGTGAATATGGTTGCCTTTTTATAAACGTAAAAAGCTCCCCTCCTAACAAGCGCTTTTGGCAGAGCGAAGTGGAGTAACACACATATTATTACGTCTCTGGGAGAATTTCCTGCCTCTGCCCCAATTTTTAAGCAAAATAATACGTTTTCTACTACAAAAATGGTGACTAGTTGAAGGTGATGCCATGGCCTTCCAAGTCTCAGATCTCAATCCAAGTGAGAATCTTTGAAATCATCGTCGATATTTGTGGGCTATTTAAAATTAAAGATTGTAAGATTTTTTTTCTTGTGAGTGAATATTGCATTAACATTTATTTTTTTAAGAACACTGATCTTCTCCAAATACAAGTTATACTATTTAATTCATAACTGGTGGTAAAGCCAACGGTTTGGTCTTCAAGTATACCCACTAAAATATATGTACAAAAAGTTCTGAAAAGAACATGGAAAAATACGCATTTGGGCCCTGGTCTCGAAGTATTAGAGCAGCTTAAGTAGGTAAGTAATTTCTTCATTTATTACGCTTTTGCGTAGGGAAGAAATACTTGCAAAGAACATGGTCTAATATTCAGAATCTCTCTTGGGGTTGGCATTTATTTTCTTTTGTTGAAATTTGATTTTTTTTTCTGCAAGGTTCACGCTTACGATCATACTATATGGAAACACCGATTCTCGTTCGATCACCGAAGTTAAGCAACGTCCAACCTGGCCTGTACTTAGTTGGATGGCCGCTTAAGAATACCAGATGCTACAAACTTTTATGTGCGTGTGGTGTAATGGATAACGTGTTAAAATTGGAGATCGGAGGGCTGAGTTTCAATTTCAGTTGGGCTCATTACATTCACTTACGCTTTGGAATCCACATACCCCATATGTTGATCCATACCTTTATTTACCCCGTCTATGGGTTAATTTATTGATACAAGTTCTACTAACTACCTCACCAATATTCTTACAATCTAAAAATATTTTCTGTCTATGAATAACCTGCTAAAGATTACTTCATTTATATTATTCGGAATGCTGTCCTCATCTTTATTACCATATTCATGACTTTTCAGCCAGTGTACGCTCCGGTATTTTTCAGGTGATTGGAATTTCGATCTGAACCATTTATTTCGCCCAACGGGATAGATTGTACTAGCTCCACGTGTCATGCCTCTTCCGTATTTCTCGGTTATCTCCCTTTAACTCCCTAAGTTTTTGTTCACCACTGCAGTAGCCAGGTATTGAACTCACAACTCTTTGGGTCAAGTCACTGGATCCAACTAACGCTTTTATCCACTAGGCCACATGTCCTTGATGGACCAGTGGGTAAAATAAAGGGTTCATGTCGAAATTCCAATCACCTGAAGAAGGCCGGAGGGTACAACGGCCGGAACGTCGAGAATATGACGGTAAAGATGAAGACAACAGTCCGAACAATGTAAATAATTAAATACCTCATCTTAGAAATATAGACAAAGATTACTTTGTTTTTTTTTTACGATCTATCATTTTAGCAGTTTCATACAAGCGTACGCAGACACACGAAGCGACACTTTATTACTGTTCTCTTTACGCCTAAAAACATGTCAGAGCATACTCTAGATTTAATTCTTCTGTAAGATCCGAGAATCGGACACTTTGTCTAATAAACAAATCATTTGTTTGTGCTCCTTGACTATACGACATGTGGTATTTCAATCACAATCTGTGCCACTAAAATCGGAAATAGTCCATGTCAAATCTAAGGATCGTCGGAATGAAATTTACATTCAACAACATTTATATCAGAAAGCCTGATGCGAATTGCAAGTATGGCAGTTCAGTCAGATAGCTTATCTTTCGTGCACTTTGTAACAGAAAGAGGTCAAAAATGCATTTCAAGTTTATACTTTGAATGTGAAATAGGTAGAAAAATGCACATGTGTTTATAATGTTCCAGACTCTGGATTGTTGACCTTCCCAGATAAAACCAGTATATCGACACACAGTTTAGAGATGTTTAAATAAAGTTATGGAAAGCTATGATCGCCTACATCTTGAAGAGACATGTCACTTAGGGGGAGGGATGAACATTGGTTAAATTACTTTTTCTTTTTTTTTCCTCGCAAATTTCTGAGAAAAAATAAGTATTTTAATCTTTTCGGAAATTAATATGTCGCAAGGTGAATAATGTAAGGAATTTAGTGAGAATTGAACTCTGTACAGAAGAAATACTTTGTGAAACTAACCCCCTGATCTATTGTTCTGTAACGACATACATTGATATTTATCATTGTCGGCAAAAGGAAGAACATGCAAATTACAAATTGGAAATGCCAAAATCAAACCTGAATAATTTAGATATTTGGAAAGTATTTAATAGAGGACGAAAATTGCGACAATGGAGGCGCATCGAAATGGTGAAAGGTGCCTTCCAAATGTTAAGCAAGGTATCAAGAAACAAGTAAATTTTGTTAGAAACAAAGAATAATGAACTGTTACATAATGAGTTCTATATGGCAGGGTGTCTTATAGTTGAAGAGACAAAGCAACAGAAAAAGTGAAGAATACATTTCAAATTTCTTGGAGCTTCCATCATTAAAGGGATGAAATGTTTCAGGTTATGAATTTAATTTATTCATTCTCTGATAAACTAAGCGATCATAAAAACGAAGTAGTAAGATAAACTAATCGTCTTTGTTTTGTCGGGAGGGGGCATCCATTGGTTATCTAAACAGTTGTGAGACATTTGCTAACAAAACATTTCCATCAAAACGCCTCCTTTCACTGCAGCAGTTATTAAGTTTGTGACAAAACTGCATTTTTCCTACAAAAGTGAAGTTGGCTTTATTTTATTTTTTTGTGCAAAAATAGATTCCAGAGACGACAAAATTTGTCTATTTATTTTTACCATTTATTTAACCAATCAGAGCCCTCGAAAAAAAAGAACGATCCAGTTTCTGACATTTGCAGACGATATTCCTTAGACAACTTGACGACATAAGTCACTGAAAACTAATATGCAATAAAGAAAGCAACTTGATCAACACACTATTCCAAATGAAAACAGATTAGGTCTAAAAGGTTAGATTAGGTCTGTTGTCAGTCTCGATAGTCCAAAAGCGTCTCGGATTCCTTATGGGTGACAAATTGTTTTCCAAACTCCCTCGCATAGACGGAACATGGCAAGTCTCTCACGTCTCTATTGTTACTTCCATGGAAACTGCTCTTACGACTTGCATTCCTTGGTTCCACCAAATGGGACCTTCACGGCCAGGACCCGCCACGCCAACCACATTATAGCAATCCACCCATTTTCCATCCGTATACAAACAAGGAAGCTTATGCTTAACATAACGAAAAGGCAGATGAAATTTCTGGGACTTGTGATGAGAAATGAGGGCCTGGAGAATCTGATACTCACGGGACGAATAGAAAGAAAAAGACGGGAAAACAGCGCACGATATACGTGGAGGCCTTTGTGGATGTGTGGAGCGTGGTCTGGGGGAGTTGGCAGAAACACAACTTTTTCACAGCCACAAAGGAACGGGGAAGCGGAGGGCCATGATCGTCTACATCCCGAAAGGACCCAGCACATAAAAAGAAAGAACATCCCAATGGAGAGAAGCATTTCACTTGAACAGCTTCCATCACTTTGTGGAAGCCACTCCCAAGACTGTGTCCCCCGATCACTACAATTTTAACCTGTTCAAATCTAGCGTTAACCATCATCTTTCCCTCCTATCTATATAAACAGTCCCTTAGTGTAAGTATATATCTCGAGTGATCCCTGACCTTTGTACAGGGTAAACCTCACTATATAAAATTTGAGATTTTCGTCATCAAATAAATTGACAATATTTTCATATCTTGCTTCGATATTTGCATATGTTCTTTAAGCAAGCGTTCACACACAAAAACCAGTTAACCTCTTTTGTCATAAACTTATTTTGAACACAAACACAGTATCTGAAGAGCTTTTAAAGGATGTAACGTATTACACATAATTTTTCAACTTTGTCATTCGATCGCCTAATATTGTTTTGATATATGGAAATTTATATATCATCTCTCGTATATAAAATGCCACGAACACATTTTGTCCTCTAAAAGGACTTCTTCGGACTAAGGTTCTTTATGATGGATTTGTCTAGGGTTGTGGTGATATATAAACGAAATCTTTGGTTTTAATTGTGTAGCGAGGGAAAAGCTGAAAATATGGCAATGCTAATTTTTAAATTTGAGTTTTAAAATTTTAAATTGGAAGTAAAAAAAAAAAAAAATTTTTAAATCTAAAATTTACCCTTCCCACATTCAGCACTTCCCTTCGGTGCATAAATATAAATGATGTTTACATTTGTCTCCACCCCCTCACCCGTCGCTTAGAAATATACTTCCATCAGTAATATTACTTTAGACCATCTAGTCCTTTTTTAAGAAGGAAATTATTTACACAGAATTTTTCATTAAATTGCCACACACATATATATATATATATATATATATATATATATATGTGTGTGTGTGTGTTGTATCAAAATACTTTTTTCAAACTGTGTTGCCATGTAGACTAGGTTACATTTATCATTCGTGTACATTTGTGGCTAGTCTGTGTAGTAGTGTGTTAACTGAAAAGTGTTCCGTTTAACAATGGCAGGATATTCATATCGTAAGCAGGCAGGGATGACTTTTACATGCGGCCGCGCGAATGGTAATGGACGTGATGCTGCACGGGTGTATCAAATTGCGTTTCCAGACCGAATGCAGCCGAGTCATCCAACTTATGCTGCAGTTTATCGTCGCGTGGTTGCAACAGGATCCGTGGCACCACAAACTCTGGCATTTTTTAATTACATCTTGGATTGTACATTTAATAGCTTCTACTGTAAAGTTTAAACTTCACTCAAAAACGAAATATTTGCCGACATATGATTATATTGACTTTTGGGCTTGTTTTCTTGTGAGGAACTTGCCCCCGAAGTTTGTCAAAAGTATTTTTGATACACCCTTTTGATTATATATATATATATATATATATATATATACGCTCGGTTGAAGATCAAGGTAAGATTTTGTTTTCCACGATTTTTTATCTCTTCGTAAAGAATGTCATGTTATCAAATGACTTGAGTGCTTTCGGTTCCCATAATCCTCTATCGATGTTGAGTGTGTATTGATTGTTGTGTATGTATTGTTTCTTTGTTAGTTTTCAATATTATATCTTCCCGCGCCAGTCTGATTTCGTGCTATTTTTATTATGAAATATTTGTTTATTAGCCTGAATTATTATTTTTTTTTTTTTATTGATGTTTGTTTTTTGTCCAATGGTTCTAGTATTTGAAGTGATTTTTTTTTTCTTTATAATGACATGTAATGATAATAATAAATCCTGGATAGCCGAACAATATCTTTTATAATTGTTAATAAAATTTGAAATTTACTAAATCTTCTATATGTTGCTTAGTCTTTAGGATAAATTCAGGAGCGAGGAAAATGTGTTTAACGGAATTTATGGAAATGAATATTGATCATCTTTCCAAAGCTTACCATTCTTTTCTTGGGAGACATAAAGAGAAAACGTTTTGTGGCAAATTAGTTACATCCACTGAAACATTAAGACAACTACATTACGGCAAGTTAACCTGACAGAATTAATTCTTTTCAAAATTAAAGAACTATTTATAAATAATTGACTTAATGTATTTCCAAAAAGTATTTAGTTGAACAAGACTCGGCCGGAATTGAACTCGCTTTGTCGATTTAGTTCTTATTTTTTAAGTTAAGCG